CTCGTCCATTCTACAGAACACTCATAGGCAGATATACATTGCGTAGCAATTTTTTATTCTTAACACAATCCTGGCTATGTCTCATATTTTTCTGCCGCAGTTGGTGAGGCCAGGTGGTACGCTGAGCTCCATTGGGGTCGCCACTGACGCGACATTACCTTTTGCCCCCGCATCATGTTATGACAAGAACATCACACTTCGATTTGGAAGGTATGCAGTGCTTCCACATCTTTACTAAAATATACTTATATATATTAGTATACATATACATTGCATATTTGTAGTAACATCCAGTGTTGCGTTTTGTTTTGCTATTCTGATAATGGTTCTAGTAGATGATGGTGCTTGCTTGCGGATGCAGCTACCAATATATGTACACCCTAAACCCCTAAACCGCTAAACCCTTAAACGTTGATGGCCAATCAGACCCGCTTCGCTTTGGTTGATAATTGATATCCAGTGAAAACTGACTAAGGTGGCCCATATTTTACAAGAGTGCAAATTCGCAATCGAAGCTAGTTAATAAGTATCCCTCACTTGTCATAGAACATCCAGCGTGGTCCTGTCAGTTCGTTGTGGACAGAGTCATATCCACCTTATGCCTATATCGTGGTGGGGGGTAGTAGGTTTGCTATCGCCCTGTTTGTATCTGTGTCTGTGTGCCTGCCTACTGTGTGTATGGTCCTAAACCACCAAGTCACACTCATTCCTAACTCGACCGTACATGCCATTGTTCGTCGAAGGTGTCCCGCGAGGTTTTACATGCCGATAGTGGCCGATATATTGTTGAATGATAGCCAATTTGCTGAGCATGTATCCGGAATAGTGTCACATACAATGCCGTTGAGCCAGGCCTCAGAGGCGTACGAGATGTTTGCAAACAAAACCCATAAGTGTACAAAGGTTGTCTTTGAGATGTAAAGCTAGATGAGGCTTACATCTGACAGGGGGGAGGGGGGGGGGTAGATATACACAGCCGAAGGCAATTGAGTATGAGGAATACATATTGCTGGTGAGTGTCGCCATCCATTGCTCACTTACTCATGAGAGCCTTAAGAATGTTATGCACGTCTACGTCAAGGCACATACATGCACGATACCCGATGAGGCATAGAGCAGAAGCGGTTATTCAGCGCAAGTAAACACAGTTTGAATTAGCAGCTGCGCTTCGACTGGTGAAGTTCCGATCAATCGCTTTCATACCACAACTTGCGCAGAGGCGGTCTGTGGACCGGTCTGTGTCTGTGCGAGAATACATACAACTAAACGAAAAACGAAACAACTAAACGAACAACTAAACCGAACAACTAATCGAATTGTCACGCGATGAACCTGTCGCAAGTGACAGAGGGACCTGAAAGCGTTAAACGCACAAATGAAGCAGTAATATTTAGGATGGGAACCCCTTGTATGCGTTAAAATGTGAATGGGAAACGTTTAACCTAATATGGCTTTTAACGTGACCAGATCTGTGACACTTTAAAGTTGGGAAGGGACTTCTAGCTATACGCTTTCAGTAATAAACAGTCGTACCTAACAATTGGATGATACGAAGTGAAGGTGCACGAGGTTGTGTTGAACACAGGAAGTAGATAAGAATTCACATCGGAAAATGTAGAGTGACCTTCTTAGTCAATCGCTTTCACACCGATGCAGTCACGAACACTGACTTTGAAATGTAGCGTTGGGTAGACATACTCTGGACGTGGCTTTAATTGATGGTTTTAGGGTAGTAAAAGTAAAGTAAACTATATCCGTTAACACTGACTAATTGGTAGTGAAGATGAAGTAAACTGTATCTGTTAACACCCACTAATTGGTAGTAAAGGTACAGTACACTATATACATTAACACCGGCTAATTAGTAGTAAAGATAAAGTAAACTATATCCGTTAATACTGACTATTTGGAAGTAAGGTAACCTAAACTATATCCGTTAACACTGGTTAATTGGTAGTAAAGGTAAAGTAAACTTTGTCCGTTAACACCGACTAACTTGTAGTAAAGATACACTTTATCCGTTAACACTGACTAATAGGTAGTAAAGATAAAGTAACTGTATCCGTTAACACCGACTAATTGATAGTAAAGGTAACAAGTGCCAGGTTGTGTGCTAGTCTGCCCGCCATAGACACATCACTCGACAGAGTGAGAGGCTAACGAGCTTTGCTTTACTAAATTCACTGACTGAGTCGGGTTTGTTCCACTGCACAACAGTCATTAACTACATCTTCATATTATCACCACCGAGAGCATCGTGAACAGTTCTCTTTCGTTGTTTTCTGGGGCAAATAGAGTCCCCTTGGCTGTGTTCCAGGGCAAAAAGAGTCCTTTTCTTGGGCTGGAGTCCAGACCTGATCTATGTATGCGTAGCCGTCTCCTGATGAGTAGCAATGCTCACGTATGCGAGATCATCTCTACCACAAGCACCCGTCCCTTCGGCCCAGAACCCACTACCAACTAAATGTACATATGCATACGAACGTATACAACCGTGCATACGTACATACTGCGTCTAAACCCCCACATCAACCATATGTTCATATGCACACAAACGTATCCGAACGCGTATACTTATTGCTTCTTGTGGTCCGCCCCCACCGCCTGTGCTACGGATTCATAGCCATCCCGTTTGAGTAGTTGGGCTAGTTCGCGTTTAACGTCTATGATCTTGTGCGGGCCCTCGAGTGCGAATGACGAGTACAATTGCACCAGCGATGCCCCGGCCTTGATCTTGCGGTACGCGTCTGCACCACTGGCCACGCCACCCACGCCTATTAAGGGCACCTAAGGTAGGTTGTTCCAAGGTTAAGTATGATAGCACAGCGAATAGAACCAGGTCACGGAAAAACGAGATTGTCGGTACATACATACATATATACATATAAATATACTCGGTGCACATAAAAACCCTAAAACCTCCCATTCAAAAAATAGCACAAATCAGTGCACATAAAACACTTAAAAAACATGGAACAAATCACATAGCCCCCTAAATTGTACCAAATCAGTGCACATAAAACCCCTAAAAAAAATAGAACAAATCAGTGCACATATGGTTACACACCTTGCCGCCAGTAAGTTTGTAAACCTTGCTGAGCACTTCCGTCGACATCTCCATCAGAGGCTTACCCGAAAGACCACCCGTCTCTGTGCGGTTTTCGCTCTGCAGAGATACGGGTCGGCTGATGGTCGTGTTGCTGACAATCAGACCGTCCACACCCGTTGCCAAGGCAACCTCTGCGGATTGGGTATGCGGTTATGGATTGAGTACGGGTGTACGTAATTTGTAGTGTACGAGGGTGTAGGACGAGGGCACGGTTTAGTAAATGTACATCATGCAGATCTTATTTACTGGTCCACTCGATACCTGTGCTGCCGACTGTCACATACAGAAACAGATACTGAGCCCCCCAAACCCATACATGTCTGTAAGTCCCTTCTCGTACCTATAAACAACTAATAACAGAAAAAATCACACCCATTGCTATGGCTATCGGTACGGTTTCAGCTACTACGTGATAGTGTGCGCGGAGTTGGCACAGGAATACGTTTGATGAACGTTTATCAAATGGTGTATCAGACGGGTTGGTAGATAACGGTTCTGTTGAGCTTCATAACCCACCCACACGCAGCATTTTTTTTTAGGGTTTAGGATTTACCCCTCACCTGCAATGTCTTATAACTTACACGCACACAGAGTGTGCTACCCTCACCTGCAATGTCTTCGATATCGATGTCGTTCAGATCGGGTGCGATCTTGATGAGCAGAGGCGGCAGGTCCTTCCGACTCTTCATCTGCAGACTGTCACGAGCGGTCTAAGCCAGAGGCGTAGGTATATTGTTATTAGTATTAGAGGGAAGAGAAAAGTGTATAGTGCTACAATACTAGCATGCACACACCTCCACAAGACCTTAGCCCCGGCGATGAGTGTAGTGAGTGTCGCTATCACGATATCCAACACATACATACGATTATTCACACAAATCACGATGCCATACTACCTAGCCTGTACATATAAACTATTGAATACACACGCACGCAAACACACATACCATTTGATATACGTGTTGAGTGTATAAAGCGCCTCTTTGCTTTGTAGACTACCGGGGCACCTATACACAATCAACTCGCACATGAGCACCAACAAACATCGTTGTATATAGGGATACTATGCACAGGTTGAGAACATATTCACCCATGTACAAGCATTTATAAATAAGCATATGGACACAATTACACACACATACATATATACATACATACATACAATATGCATACACAGATACATAGATACATATATATACATACATACATAGACACATACACATACCTTGGCATCGTTGATGAGCGTAGTGAGCGCCTCCTTGCCCTGTAGACTGCGCAGGCCGGGGGTGTTGGGCGACGACACATTCACCACCACAAAGTCAGCGTACCCTCCCAACACTATGATGCCTATAAGGCATGATTTGGTATTCATGTACGTGTAGTATCACATGGTGAGTGTTCGTGTAGGCACATCGAGTTATATTCTAACAGCTCCCAAATGCCAAGGTACAGATGGGTGACGTTTCATAGCGATCAAAAGCACAACCAGACAACGCAATGCCATTTTACGCCTCAGATAAAACCATCTCCAACTGTTTCTAAAACCCTAAAACCTTAAACTGTTGGTAGTACAACGGGAACGTACAGTATACTATGTTCCAACTCGGACAATTTAACAAGTGATATCGGTACACATAATGTTTCGGCATAGACATATGAAGTAGCGATATATGTGCATACTATGTTGCAAATTAGTCGATATATGAAGTGATAGTGGGGCGTGCGAGCCCTTGTAAATGTACGGTGTTTGTACAAGTATACTCGAAAGCACAGCACACCACGTGCCAATTAGACAATCTGCGAAGTAATATCCGTACGGGCGAGATATGGTTGACTACTAGTGTCAGTGCCTAGTACAACTATACACAAGCATACAATTGAACGATACCATAGACTGTTAACGCATTGCCACTGTAAAGACAGTATCGACCCAAAACGCATGTGCTGACGCTTTTTATATTGCCATTCCGGGGTTCAGAGACAAGGACACACAGTCACATGGATAAACATATGTAATGTGTTGTAACTCTCCATGCATCCATACGTGTGTCAGCGCGCCAATACAAAGGTACAATCAAAATTAAGGATGGCGACGCTCCCATACATGTATGTATGTATATGTTGCCGTATAGGGAATACATACCGGTGACAAAGTCTTCCGACAGCTCGGTGCTGACTTTGTTCATGAAACTAGTAATATTGCTCTGATACATGTGTGTACCTGTTGCGGCTAAGAGTGAACTTACCGGTAACAAAGTCTTCTGAGAGTTCGGTACTGGCTTTGTTCTTGCCCACATTGACACCAAACACGCGCTGCTTTTGACACTGCTCGGCGTCTTTCCCGCTGGTCACTCTCGCCTGCAGATTCTCCTCAACCATCTGCACACCCACACTATTGAAGCCGTATCTGTGTGCCGAGTAAAAAGTGCGCAATGTATGGTCTGATTTCAGAAGAAGGCTCTGAATATTACTTAAGTAAAGGCGTACAGACTCTGAATATTATTTAAGTAGAGATGTACAGGCCATGGATAATATATAGGTATAGGTTTATAGGCTATGAATCATATAGAAGTAGAGGTGTACATGCGAATATACTGTTGTAAACACAAGTGCGAGTGTATTGATGTGATTGGATGTGGGCACGTACAGTCGTACATGTCAAATTGTATCGGAAACAACAGTACAACGATCACAGTCGATCTAAAAGCACAGATAGTCTATGAATAGATTTTACCTACCTATTAGAACTATATCAATCAGAATACGCGAGGCTTCTCATTGCCGCCTGGGGCATGAGTGTGACACTCCCGCACACGGTAACCGCAACAAACTACACCGATAGGTATGTAACTTTTAGTAAAGATAGGCTATATATAGATTATACCTACCTATTAATGACCGCGCCATCCTCAAGCAATCGGAACACGCGTGGCTTCTCATTGCCCGCCTGAGGCATAGGTGTGACACTCCCGCACTCGACAAACCCAGCCCCGCCGTCAAATACGCCATCTACCGCCTCTCCATTCTTGTCAAACCTGTGTGTGGAGACGAATGGATGAGACATATATACCTACAACTCTATATAAAAGCAGTGTATGAAATAGGTACCGTACCCTGCATCGATCAGTAAATGGGAAGCTAATTGCATATGAGTGTACAGGAGGATATATATATATAAATATACACATATACATAAGATATACATATGCATATATATATATATATATACAGATATATAAATAGAATTGATGTAATAAAATTAGTTTAGATAGATCGCTTGTTAATAAGTATGGGCGCACGTAGTTATGTCCAATCAATGCGTGCTATCTCTACCTCCATAGTACGACAGCGCGTTCAGACACTTGTGTGGCACTCGCGCAGAGTACGATAGAGCTATGCTATCAAAAAGACAAGCGAATATACAATCCACAAGCATCTACATCCGTACTTATACTTTTATGTATCATATATGTGTGCCACCCACAGACTTATAGTTGTCAATAGTAGCAAGTAGTTTGAAAACGAATATACTCGCCTAAAACTGTAGCGACGTACCCTTATGGTGACCGTAGGGCAGCTCAAATACATGTTACACATTGCCTTGAACCAGCAAAATCACACTATCCAATCAGGTGTATGCTATAATTAGAATGTTCCTATGAAACACATATTTACTACTAATAAAACTATAACTATCGATATAAACAAATACGACTCCATGTTCCCATACCCTTTCACTGTCTGTTTGTAACTGATTCATAATGCAAACGCACATACCCAGCGGCGATGCCAATAGGATTTACAAAAGTCCTGCCCCAAATCTGAGTTTTTAGGAATGGATCGTCTGGCGCATTGTCCTTGGGCATCAAGCCTGCGCTATAGGCTACTATGGCCATTCTGTGGGCTGACTCTGGGTCAGTTAACCTCTGCAGAAAAAAAAAGGATTTCAACCAAATCAATCAGAAAATAATAGCAGTGGGATTATATACCTATTGACTGGTTGCGAAATGTGAATAAACATTCGTGTGATGTGATTTTTCTCCGAGAATAACTCGTCCCATAGAGTGGACTGCCACCAATCGGTGAATAAATCCGTGTCGCAAATTTACCATGATAAAAAACTAGATTTAAATGCAATACACGGAAGAGAATAATACGCACATATATCCGCAATACCTATATCCGTATCATATATATAAACATATATATATATATATACATATGTATATCTTACAATATATATATATATATATATTTATTTATATACTACAATATATATATATATATATATATGTGGGTGTGTGTTTGCGTATTGTAATATACGTATACATATACATATATATATATGTATACGTATATTACAATACACAAACACACACACATATATATATGTAATATACGTATACATATATATAAATATAAATATAAATATATATATAATTCATATATATATATATACTTATATAATACATATTTATATATGTTTATATATAAGTATCTTTAAATATGTATGTATATGTATACGTAAATATATATATGAGCAAATATGTGTGTATATATAAGTACTTTTAAATATGTAAGTATATGTATACGTAAGTATATATATGAGCATGTATATATATAAACGTATAAGTAAGTATGTAGGTATATCTATGAGCATATATATATATATTTATACGTACGTAGATATACATACATGCGTGAAAATACATACATAAGATCCCCATAGTATAAATGCGTGTATGTGTAAAATATATATATATATGTGTGTGCATATATACGTATATAAGTATAT